TAGAGTCCTACAACTGCATAATTTGCCTAATTTGCCTAAGTTTGCTAATGAGTATATGTTCGAAGTGGTTTTGATGTTTAAATTCTGATCCTGCTAAAATAGCTTTGACCACTCTTTTTTTTGGGTAAATGGTCGGGAGAAATGCGAAACACAGCTCATTCATTGAAAATGGAGACTTGTATTGGGAGGAAAGTCCAGAATAGTTCTCGGAGATGGGAAGTCTACTATTCATAAAATAACATGATGAAAACTTTATAACTTGAAGTTTTTTGTTTTCTCTGCTGAAATGAGTAGTAAAATAGGCCTCATTTTTTCCTTTTGGATGAAAAAATGAGTTCTAAAAGCTTCCTTTTGCAGCTGTTTTAATTCATATATCTTTATTTTCTCAATCATCAATTATGTGATGTGAATTACGATTTTCCAACCCTTCTCTATGATTTGTTATCTGCAGTGAATAGTAGAAGCTCAATAATTGCTAATTTTCATTTTGCAGGATTGAGAATCGGTCTTTGTTTTGCCAATACGTTTTCGCGCAAGTAGGTGGTTCCAGTGATTCATGGAAGTTTCTTCTGCCCAATTCATCACTTGCCTTTTCATGGGAAGATCTTGATAGGGAAAGAATGTTGGAAATCTTAGTAGATGGAAGTGACTCTGGCACATCGCACAGAAGTACAATATCGATGAGATATTTGATCATGAGCCTATACCTGTTGATGGAGGAAATATATTCACTTTACGCGTTACTATTTTGAAAGAAGAGAAAACAAATGTTGTTAAAATCAGCGACTGGATGCCTGAAAATGAATCTTCTGCAACTTTCAATAGCATTTCCCTTCTATGTTACACATCTCTGGAAATTATTTGCAGCCTAGCAATCGATGTCCACCCAGAATGTGAATTTCATTTCATTGTTGAGGTTTCAGAGCTTGGTTTGTCTATAATTGATCATACACCTGAAGAGATATTATATATGTCGGTCGCAGAATCTTTGCTGTCTCATTCAACTGGACTTGGCCTCTGAATCAGTAGGTAATGTGTTCTGGTGACTGCTAACAAGGTTAATGGTATTTCTCGCTGTTTGGGCATTCATAGCTTCTACTAGATGCTTTCACGTAGTAACTAAGCACTGTTATCTTCACAAACCATTAATGTTAAATTAGTTTACTGCAGGCTCAAAATTAGAATGCATGGGATCCAGGTGGATAATCAGTTGCCTTTGACTCCAATGCCAGTTCTCTTCAGGTCACAGCGAATAGGAGAGGAGAATGATTATCTCTTAAAATTTTCCCTCACCCAGCAATCAAATGGATCGTTGGATTTACATGTATATCCATATATAGGTTTCCAGGTGAGTGATCTGATACAGCTTCCTTATTTTATGTCTTTCTAGTGATTACCAAGATATTTACTGATGGTTGAGTACGTACTAACATCCTCTCAGGGACCTGAAAATTCTGCTTTTTTGATCAACATCCCTGAACCGATCATATGGCGCATTCATGGAATGATCCAGCAGGCCAATCTTAGTCAGTTATCTGATGCCAGAGCACTTCTGTTTCAGTTGATCCTATCATCCAGATTGGGTATTAAAACATTACTTTTTGATCTTTGGATCTTTATGTGTACAGAAAATCTCCAACATTGCTTCTGTGAACTTTCTTGTAATTGGAAATTTTCAAATTGACAGTGTTCTAAACTTCTCGGAGATCGATTCAAGGTTACTATGGCTATGTCCCCCAGTCAGCGCCCAGTTGGTGTCCTTGGTTTTTGGTCAAGCTTGATGACTGCACTTGGAAACATGGAAAATATGCCAGTTAAGTTTCTGCTCCTGCTTGATCTTGTAATTTAATTGGATGGTATATCTTGTAAGCTTGTCAGTTCTTCCAAATTTTAGTGACTGGTTCCTTATTTGTTGGTTTCTAACATGAAACCTTCAGCTAATTAATCAGTCTTCTTGTGTTTCTGGTGGTAGATTCTTGAAGTTATTGAGTTGTATGCGATCTTGAAAGAGATTTAAAGAAGTAAGAACAAGAGGAAGATGAAGGAGGGAAGCTAGTACACTCTTGTTCTTACTATAAATCTCTTTCAAGATCACAAGAAATTGATTTGGAATGCTCTCGACTGCTTAAGCAGTCTTCCATACTATATGACTTCACTGGTTGTATATGGAACACTCAGTTGATATAATTTCTTTCTTGTCATGCAAAGTGCTTGGGTACTGTTGGCAGCTGACTGAGATCAATAATTTGACTTTTTAATCAGGTCCGGATTAATGAGGCGTTCTTGGAAAATGTATGCATGCGGCATAGTGTTCTTGTTGCTAATGCCATCTCAAACATTAAAAAGGATCTTCTCAGCCAGCCTTTTCAGCTACTCTCGGGTGTTGATATACTTGGCAATGCTAGTAGTGCACTTGGACATATGAGCAAAGGTGTTGCAGCCTTGTCGATGGATAAAAAATTTATACAAAGTCGACAAAGACAGGTTCATCAGGAATACTCTCTTTCATTGTTATGCAACATGGTGTAATATTGAAGATCTTATTGAGAACAACTTGCATCTAAGACTCTGAATCCTTAGCAACCAACATCCTCTGTTACCTTTTTAGATTGTGGATTTTGTCAATGAAAGTAGTCGTTCACATTATGAAAAAAGAGCAACAAATACGTCAAGTACATATTTATCCTATTAAACAGAGGGCAGTTCTCTTGGACCCATGAAGATGGTAATACATATGAAGGCTTCAATATTAACTGAAGAATTTAGGTAGTTTTTAATGTGCATAGTAGAGGTTGGGGTGCATCTACTTTTGCAGTGATCTAAAGCCCATTTCTGTTACATTGCATTCCATGAGATGTGATATTTTGATAGTAATTATCCATTACCGATGCTATTCTATTTGAATCTGAAGTAATTTTGTTGTAATTTTAATGTAAATCATATTTTGGGTTTACATGCATTCTTAGTGTGAAAATTCCCTATGCAAGCTGGAAGTGTGACTTTGTACATCCAAAAACCTGTTTACATTCTTTCACAAAATGCACATGTTTTTACAGGATGCTAAGGGGGTAGAGGATTTCGGTGATGTTATCCGGGATGGAGGTGGTGCGCTAGCTAAAGGCCTTTTCCGTGGAGTCACTGGCATTTTAACAAAGCCTCTTGAAGGCGCAAAAGCTTCAGGTGTTGAGGGCTTTGTTCAGGGTGTTGGGAAAGGATTAATAGGTGCTGCTGCACAACCTGTTAGTGGGGTTTTAGATCTTTTATCAAAAACTACCGAAGGTGCCAATGCTGTGAGGATGAAGATAGCATCTGCAATTGCATCAGAAGATCAACTCCTAAGGAGGCGGCTACCTCGGGCAATTAATGGTGATAATTTGCTTCGACCATATGATGAATACAAAGCGCAGGACAGGTATTTTGCTTTTTGCCTTGCTCATATCATCCTCCACAACCCTCCTTTGTACTATGAAGCAAACAACATTCCATGCCCCAAATCTGGCAAGGAGTTGTAGTTAGGAAGCAGAGGTATGGAAAAGATTGTGCAGATGAGGGTGATTACAAAGTGTTGGATTCTTGATGGCTTTTCACTGGTATGGGAAGGAAGTTTTCTGTTATAATGCTGAGTGCATGGGGTGGTTTGGCAAGGATATGGTCTGTCTCAGTGTGCTTTCTGATTGAGGTTTCAGTGGGTCTTTTGCAGGTGTGGTGGATGGGAGGGGATGCAAAGGCATGGGAAATATTGCATTTGGGGGGCCTGGGTATTGGAATGATGTTAGAGTAGGTTGGGAGGCAAGTAAAGGAAGCTGGTTAATGTCTCTGGGAGTGGGGAGAGGACAGGAAAGGGAGGGGGAATTTCAGATTTAGGTGTGCAAAGGTGGTGGAGGGGTAAGAACACGAGGATATAGAACAATATGTGAAATATCTAGAAAGTGCAGTAAAGATAGATTAATAGAGAAAAACAAAAGTTCTGTCCTTATACACTGTAATGTGTATTGTGCTTGACTAGCTTATCAAAAGAGCTCATTCATGTTTTCCCTGCATAGCATTCAATTTTGGGCCATAAGATATCAGTTTTCTATAGAATGCTGTCATGCTAATTCGAATTTGAAGTGCCCTGGGAATCTGAGTATGCTTTCTGTCAAAACATTAGGCAATGTTGCAGTTAGCAGAATCTGGATCATTTTTCAGCCAAGTTGATCTGTTCAAAGTACGTGCAAAATTTGCCTTAACGGATGCCTATGAAGACCATTTCTTACTTCCAAAGGGACGAATTGTTGTTATTACTCATCGAAGGGTGATTTTGATGCAAGTAAGTTTAACTTTAATCAAACTACCTGGTAGATATCAAAAGAAATCTTAATCCTGACTAAATTTCTAATCCTATCTAGCATTTGATGGCTCCATACTCACGTCATCTTGCTTAATTTATTAGCAACCATTCAACATTATTGCTCAAAAGAAGTTCAACCCAGCAAGGGATCCTTGTTCGGTTTTGGGATGTAGCTTGGAATGACCTTGTGACAATGGAATTGACTCATGGGAAAAAAGATCATGCAAGTGCTCCACCTTCGCGGCTTGTTGTGTATTTACAGAGTAGATCATTGGAGGCAAAGGATCAAGTTCGTGTTATAAAATGTAATCATGACACCAATCAGGCAATGGAGGTTTATACTTCAATTGAGCAAGCAAGGTCTACATATGGACCAAGTCAATTTCAGGTGCAGATTGTGTTTTGATTGAGTTTGTAGATAAATTTCCTTGATCATATTGTGGTCGTTCTCTTTGTTTCATCTTTAATTTTTCTCCCATCTTCCAGGCATTGCGTGAAAGGAAAGTGACAAAACCATATTCTCCAACTGCTGATATGGCCTCTGAAGTAATTTCAAAAGATGGAGTTTGCGTCTCCTCTCCCCAACAGTTGCCTGCATCAGTACCATTAACTTCTACATTTGGAACTAGCGAACATTGAATGATAAAAAGAAAATAGTTAATGTGATTAGATGGTGCAAGTTGTTACTGGTCATCCATGCAATCTAGAAGACTGCTCAGTTATTGCTTTTTTTGCAAGAAGTTGCATCACTATGAAGGTAATTTACATTTTATTCTTTTGTTTTCTAAAGCTGAAATCCACCCAATTCCACACTATCCTTGGGTATCAGCTAATCTGTTTTTTTTGTATTTTTTTGGGGGTGGCCATGTTGCCAAATTGTCCTTGAAGGATGTTAAGAATCTTGCCTCAGTATCCAGACTTCTAAATTTGGAATCTTTTAAAATTCTTGGCATGAAGTTTAAAAACTTGGTTTTAGGTTTCCTTTTTTTTAGCATTGATATTAATAACCTGAACATCAAGCGACGATCCTGCTTCCTGGCATATGTGCGTGATACGGGTAGAATCTAATGTCTTCCTGGTAAAGTCTTTTAACGCTTCAAACATCAATTTGTCTTGGTTCTGTCCAAAGTATTTCAGTTTTATGTCACCAAAAATGGCCTAAAACAATGTCACTAGAGATGAAGCTCGGAAGCTTAAATTTGATAGTGCATCTTATATTACTGTAAATCTGGATCTCATCAAACGCATAAGTTCCAATCAACACGAGTTTAGGGTATGACACCATTGTTTTTGGGTTGCAGGTGCGTAAGTTCTGGCTTGAGGGCAGAAAAGGTCAAAGAGCCGTATTGTTGAAAGGACTCCCAATGATGGGCTTCCAGATTCTGGTATTTGTAGGGTGCATTTTATGTGTTTTATGGGTATAAATATTGTACATAACATAGATGGCAATACATGAAGATAATTTAGGTTTAAACTACCGGACATGTTCTACCTCCCATTATATATTCTGGGCATTGGATGGCTTTAGCCGCCCATTTTGCATGCCATGTAATCTTAATGTCTATATTTAGGCTTTTAGGTCCATATAGCAAGGCTTCGCTCCTCAGCAGACATATTGTGTATGCCTCTTGTTTCATCGGTAACTCATGTGGAAACTTTTCCCAGATAATCTGGAAGTCTTCTTTGTCCAGGATCCTGTACTTGTTTTCCGGCCAGTTATTGATGCTCTTTATTCTGTCATCTACTGCAAGATGGAGCAGATTGTATTTGCAATTTGAACTATAATATGTAAGACTGGTAGTGTGACTGAGATGGTATATCGGCTGCTACGTTATGCAAAGCTGGAGTCCAATCATTATTGGATGTCTGCAAGGAAATCGTTCGTTTTCTTTCTGAGTAGTTATGATGTCAAAAGCGTGATAGCTGGGACATATCTGACAATGTCAGGCTGACATGTGTAGTACAGTTATTGTTATCATTTGGGGGTTAATGGTAATCAAGCATTCAAAATGAGGCCTGGCTATTTCTCGGGCAGAACAATTCATGTTGCCTTTTTTGTTTGGTGGTGGTGGGATGGATCAGATGGTTCATTGTTGGTAAACATCAACTTTATGAAGCTCAAAAATTACGGGTAAAATGAAAGTCAATTCAGGGTTGGCTGCAGATGTACAGTGACGGTGAAGTAAGCGTCCCTCTCGGCTGAGGAGCAACTGCAAAACGCTATTCTTGCAAGTTGCAATCAGTCACAAATAATTCCCACTACAACTTAATATCCAAATCATGTTGAGTGATTTATGCTGGACGATTTCTAGCAAATTTAGTAATAAAATCTTCTTTGTTATAAAAAAAAATTCATGTTTTAATAATGAGTTCAAAAAAATTGAGTTATATTTGAGTTGCCAATAATGATGCTTCTTGCGGAGACAAAAGAATTGCTGAGTTGCTGTACCAAGCAGTCTCCTGTTATTTCCACCATTTTTAAGTGAGCAATTATTGTGTCTATATTTCTCACGGCCGTATATGGAGAAAAGGGAGGAGCTGATTACATTGATAATTGTGTGTTTTATTTCTTACTAGTTGTGTATTAGAACATGCTCAAAGGTAAGGGCATAAACAAGTCTAATCAAGTGAAATATGCTAGTGTTTAATCTTGTTTGATTATTTCAACAGGATTGAAATTTTGTTCAAATTTGATTTATTTTTTTGTCAAACTGACTTTGAGCGAATTTTTTTAATAAATATTGTTGAATATGAAACGCTATTCAAAATATAGTTTGACAAGTTGGACGAATCAAATTCAAATGATTACTAAACCAAGCTCGATTCGACTTAGGTGCCGTTTGGTAAAAAGAAATCGGAATTAGGAATTGAAATAATTTCAATTCTTGTTGTTTGGATTACATGTATTGGATTCAAAATCTTGGAGTGAATCATTAAAATTTAAGAGTTCTCAATCCCCAACAAATTGGAGGGGTTTTGGTATATTCTCAAATTTGACTCAATTTGCCTTGAAGACTTCAAAAAAGAAAAGAAAACGTATCATCTTTATTCCAACCTCCATGATAGCACCTTACCATTAGATTTTCTCTTTCATCTTTTCGCTCTCATCTCATCTTTTACAGCAAGCTTTCATCATTATCCTTTTCTCTTTTTTTCTCTAGTCATTCACTCTTCCAATCTTTCATGGAAACAGTCTCATCTCATTTGGTTATCTCTCCTTTTTTTATTAATCTCTATCATTTTCTTTTTTCTTCTCTCTTCCTCTCTCTTCTAATACTTTATGGTAGTTGCTTCTCTCCATTTGTTCTCTCTCTTCTCTCTTTTTTTTTGCTTTTTGTGTAAGCCTTTCTCTTTCCTCCAATCTTTCATGGCAGCAGCCTCATCTTATCTGGTTGTCTCTCCCTTTTTATTAATCTCTCTCATTTTTCCTTTTCTTCTCTTTTCACTCTCTTCATTTCTCCTCTAATACTCTATGGCAGTCGTTTCTCTTCATTTGGTTATCTCTCTTCTCTCATTTTTTTTCCTTTTTGTGCAAGCCTTTCTCTCATTTTTTGTCATTCGCTTTCTCATGTTCCACAGATTGCAAGGTTGATTGGTGATGATTAAGGGTTCGTTTGGGAGTGGATGATTTGGATAGAAAATAAAGGGAAAGAAGAGAAAGTTAACTTTTGCTTCACTTGTTAGTTTTTAATAGGAAAGAAAAGAAAGGAAATAGAAGGATGAATAGTTATCAAAATGCTTCCTCCCAAATCGGAAGGAAATGGGAAGAAAGCTTGGAGAAAACTTGATAATTTTTTAAAAATGCCTATTTTATCCTTAAAAATGTTTTGAACAAATATTTAATGACCTTCATATTCAAAATCGTTTCACTAATTCTCAAAACTCCCAAACAACGTAACAATCTCTTTTCTTTTCTTCTCTTCTCTTCTCTCGTAACTTAAGTTTTCCCTTTTTTTTTTTTTTTCTATCCTAAACTCCCAAACTAAGCCTAAGTGCTAATTCAAGAGAATATGAATGAAACACGAGTATTCAAAGTAAGGATTGGGAAGAAAAAAAAATAAAGAAAAAAAAATAAAAAAAAATTTGATTTCAAAACCTTATAAATATATAACTTGATCAAAGTTCATACTAAATTTTCAAACGTGATTATAATTACAATTCCGATTTGTAGACTTGAACCAAACGCGCCCGTAGTTTGTGTCCTTGCGACCACAAAATTGGAAGTTCCAACTCAGAAGACCAGAAATTGGATCTTCCTAACCAAACCTGAAGGAGAAAAGTAGCAGTCATTCCTACCAACATAACAAGTCATTTGGAATGGGGAAGACTGCTAACAGTTTGTTCAGGCCCAGCAGGCGGCGCGATCAGAATTTGGGTTTTGGTACTCGGAAGAGCCCGTCCTTCCTTCGGGAGACCCAAGAGTTTGTTCTTCAACATGCTCACTTGAGTGGTGGACGACCGGGAGACCAAAATATCCTACGCTCTCCAAGATGGCTGCTAATTGCTCCAAAATGTAAAACTTAATCGTGGTAGTGTTGTAAAACTTAATCGTTGTAGTGTTGTTACTTTCTTGGAAGGAAGTTAGGAAGAACATGTTTTCCACTTCTTTCTTTTTCTTTTTTTTTTGTTTTGGCCCCCTTGAACTACTGTAAGGTAGTCATAGTATGGTAATAAAGAAAATGATCTGAGCAGCTGAGCCGAACCCAACCCATACCACCTGTTGAGTCTTATAATTGATTTCCCTCCTCTACATGTAATGATGGTAGTATTTTGATAAATCATACCACAGTTTGGTCATCTCTGCAGAGTTCAGAGAGGATCATGGCTAACGAGGGAAGTATAAAGTTCTGTTAAGAGTATCTTCTTATTGCAGGAATCTATTGAGAGGATAGGAATTACAAAAACCAGAGCATTATCCAACTGCCGACATCCAACACTAGAGATTAAATAGCGGTACACTAACTCACTCACACCTTGTCAACTTGTTGCCTACTTCTCCCAGATTTTTTTTTTTTTTTTGGTTCGGAGCAATACTTCTCCCAGATACTGTAATTCTGTTACAATAAATCTAGAAAATTTCAATCTGACTGCAAAAAAAGAACGACTGCTGAAACCAAGGCTCACAAGTGTTGGTTGCATCTCTTTCGACGACAAAAAGTAGAACCAGAGGAGACCGAGGGTCCAAATCAAGCAACCCTCTCTGAATTCTTGCTGCTGATACTGTTTCTACTAATAAATCTACTTCATTTACAAATGGAGCTTCCACTTGAGCTCTTTCATCTCATCAAGAAGCGCTCAAAAAGGTAGGAGTACTATACCATTATTATTTGGTTCTTTACATTTTCAAGCACACACTTTTTTGGCTTTTTCGCATATCTGAACTCTTTCAGAACCCCTGACCAAGAAAAGTTGCTTTCAAGAACTCTGATTCAAATTTTTAGCTCTCTCCCTCTATCCATCAAAAGCATTTTCAGCCACCTTTTTGCAGATTCATTTCCTTTGCTTCTTTTCTCTCCTTTTTTTGTTTCCTTTTCTGGATCGGCGGGTTTTAGAATTTAGTATGTCCTGCTTACAAGTTGGGGGAGATGATTGTGCAAAGTCCGTAGATTCTAGATCTAAGGTCATGTCCGTAATCCAAGAATATTGCTTTAAAATGAAAAAGTGGACTGATGGTGTTTTGAACTTACTTATCTAATTGATTGCACCATTGATTTGCTTTCCTTCTCTCTTTGGTTGGTTAGTTTCAGTACATTATCCTTGAACTTGAAGATGGTAACTGGCCAAATCTAAAGATTGAAGAATAAGGTCTTGTTCACATTTGGAATTCTAACTACAAACTGCCTCGGACCTGCAACTGTTGCGTACTCCGATAAATATTGGTCCAAGAATCTTCTCTATAGTTGTGCGTGCTAAGTTTGGGAATGAAAAAGTGGACTGGAGGTGTTTTAATCGTAGGGCTTGCATTGATTTTAGTTATTAGTTACAGTTTCGTTGGGAAGTCCGCCCAACAAAAACAATCAGCATATGATTTTTTCAATAATCATCCTGCTGACAATGCCAACCCGGAAGGCAGGAAGGGCCATGATAATGTGAAATCGGCTGAGACTGACGTCAAAAAGGCACTTAATTTTAAAGGAAAGCCTCGATTTGTCCATGTTGAAGGGCTCAGTTCTTTGTATAGTAGCTTGGGGAACTTTTCCAAAGAGGAGTCAAAAGCGTTGCAGGTATGGAGCCGAATGCGCTTTTTATTACCCAGGTCAGATGCATTGCCTAACACTGCAGGGCATCAAAGAGGCCGCTGCAGTTTGGAAAGAGTTGTTGTCAACCGTTCAGGAAGATAAGGCCTCCAAGGCAAACAAAGTTGGAGAGATGTAGATTGTCCATACTATGTCAGTGCGTTTAATGGCACAAAATCAAGGAGTCAGAATGCAACTCTTGAAATCCTTGTGGTCTTGTTGAAGATTCATCTGTTACTGTGATTGGAATGCCTGATGCATTACAAGACGGTTTTCAAATTGAGCTTATTGGCTCAAAACTGTCAGATGAGCCCAGGCTCCTTTGGTGTTGCAGTACAAGGTGTTTTTACCTGGAAAGAACCTGACAAAGGAGCCCTTTGTCATCCAAAATGCATGGGCTAATGAATCTGGGTGGGGAAGGAGGAAAGGTGTCCTGATCGTGGCTCGACTGACTTTCTAAAAGGTTAAATCCTTGCAAATTTTAATCAGAAGATTTCATTTGACTCACTGTCCAAGTCTTTTGCGTGTATACTTAAACCCTACCCTCTGGCTTAGTTTTATCGGCCATCGTAATTCAATCTTGCGCATGTAATCTATAGCCTCGGAGATTTTCAATGTGGAATGCATGATTAGCTAGTATGATTCTTGTTTCCTTGGTCACTCAACTGACTTGTGCATTGGTCATGATGTATGAAGCAATTTAGATGGATGAGTTGAGACAATATATAACTGCCTATTTCATGTTTCAGTTGATGGGCTAGTAAAGTGCAATGCGCAGAGTGTCAGGACGGCTATGCCAGAGAATTCAAATGGGAGTAATCGTAGCAGTGACAAGTTAACCAATTTTCTGATGGGGGTACCCATGGAAGTGCCACTTTTCCTTTCCCTTATTTTGAAGGCATTCCATTTACTGCCTCATTGTGGGTTGGGTTGGAGGGATTCCACATGACAGTCAATGGAAGGCACGAGACATCTTTCGCGTATAGAGAGGTATAGTAATATCAACGTGGAGCTCAAAATGCGTATAATAGGAGAGGATGGATGCTCATTGATCTTGCAGGAATGATAGCAATAATATCTGTTGTATGATTTTGATGCAGAAGCTTGAACCATGGTTGGTGGGTGGAGTTGAGGTGAAAGGTGGCTTGGCCACCATAGCTATCTTAGCAAAAGGATTGCCTGTTTCAAATGACCTGAATTTAGACGTTGATCTCGAGCTTCTCAAAGCTCCCTCAGTTTCCAAGAAAGAGCTTGTATTGATGATTGGTGTTTTCTCAACTGCAAATAACTTTGAGAGGCGTATGGCACTGAGAAGATCTTGGATGCAATACGATGCTGTACGCTCCGCCGAGGTGGCTGTCCGCTTCTTCATCGGTCTTGTAAGTGAGGCATCACACACTGGGCAGCTATTCTTCGAAATTACCCATTGGAAGGAAGGTTCACCAAAACTTAAGCCCTACCTACTTGAGGCTCTAACCTGATTGCTGCCAACAGTCCTTTTGATGCTTGAAATATTCGGGCTTTGCTTCTGGTTACAATAATATAAGAGACACATGCTGCTGAATTTCCACTTTCTGTTTATTTACAGCACAAGAAACAAGCAGTCAACTATGAGCTGTGGAGAGAAGCTCAAGCATACGGAGACATCCAGTTGATGCCTTTTGTTGACTATTATAGCTTGCTCAGTTTGAAAACCATCGCAATCTGCATTCTGGGGGTAGGCAAACAAAGCTCTCCACTCCACATAAAAAGGAAATATATATATATATATATATTACAGTATGATATATATTCTCTCTGTATATATATACATGCACATTATTTATATGTCGTCTGGAGTTTATATATCTATCAACGCATTACATGATGGGCGGCACGCATTCTCGATCATTGTGACAGACTGAAATCCTGACTGCTAAATATATAATGAAGACGGACGATGATGCCTTCGTTAGAATTGATGAAGTTGTATCTAGCTTGAAGGGAAAGGCTTCTTCTTCAGACGGCCTTCTGTATGGTCATATATCGTTCGAATCATCACCCCACAGGGACAAAGAGAATAAATGGTACGTCAGTCCAGAGGTAGGTACTACTGCTGCTGCTGCTGCTGCTGCTCATTTTTTTTTTTTTTTAAATTTTTGTCATATTAAATCAAATCAAATGTGGAGGTCTCTTGTCCTCTGTATATAGGAATGGCCGTATGCATCATATCCGCCGTGGGCACATGGTCCGGGTTACGTAATTTCCAGAGACATAGCGAAGTTCATCGTTGGAGGCCATCGGGAAAGGGACATTATGGTGAGAATCATCATCGTCATCAACTCTTGTTGTTTTTTTGGAATGGTGGGAGAGTAAAAATTCCCTAATTTTTATTCATGACTAGAAGTTTTTGATGGGTTGCAGCTGTTCAAGCTAGAGGACGTGGCTGTTGGGATATGGATAGAGCAATTCAAAGAGCCTGGGACACAGCGTGAAGTACGTGGACGACGAGAGATTTTACATATCTGGGTGTGAGCCAAACTACGTTCTGGCCCATTACCAGACCCTCGGAAGCTTCTGTGTATGTGGGAGAAGCTCCAAAAACAAAAACACCGCCACGACGGCGACCCTCCTAACTCCTGCTGTGACTGACTGATCATCATTGTCCTCCGGACGCCGCTCGACAACTTACGGTGGTGTTACTTTTTGTGCTAGTCCAACAGCAGCAGCATCAGATGTGTGTTTTTGTTCAAGGAATGACGTGTGATTATTAAATGAAAAATGATATTGGGTGTGTCGTGTGTGTGCGCGTGACTAGACTTCCACTCCGTCTCTAACATAAATTTTTTTTAAAAAAAAATAATAATAATAAATTATGATCTAATAACCAAGTATATATTTAGGAATATCTTTTTTCTTTTGCATGTCTATATAAAACTCCTCGTTACTGAATTTATTTATAACCGCCTATATTTTCGTCTTTTACTTTTTAACCTTATTTTGTATTTTATTATTGTTTTAATCTTCATGAGTATAATATTGAAATAAAAGTTTTATATTTCCTCCAAGATGGGCTAAACTATCACGAGAAATTAAATGCCAATCGAAGGGAGATTCTTGAGATTTTAAAAGTCTATTGGATGCTAAGTGATGTTTGGATTGTGAATTATTAGAGATATTTTTACTGTAGCACTTTTTGTGATGTGATGTATGTGAGATAAAAAGGTAATTGGAAAGGGTAAAAAGGTGTATTGGAAATTGTAATGATGATGTAAGCAAATAAATTTTGAGAAATAAAGCCCAATCCAAACAAAGCGATATTATGCAAAAACATTACGGGAGGTTTCAAGAATCATTATTATGGTCTCAAGTTTATCTGATCACTTGCCGTGCCGGACATCATACGCACAAAATAATGCTACAATTACGTCAGTGCTCTTCCCCGTTTACGTTTCTTGAAAGGTTTGCCTTTTTACGTTTCTTGAAAAGTCGCTTTGTTTACTCCAAAAAAAAAAGAAAAGAAAGAAAGAGTCTCTTTGTTTGTCATTGAACGGTCCGCAGTTGTGAAATTGGAAGCGGCTGTTCCCCATTTTTGTCTCATCTTGTCGTGGCACCTCTAGGCTCTAAACTACAGCCAACTGGAATTTGATTAGTGCGTTCAAGATGCCCAAAAAAGTAATTAGATACCACTAAATAGGGCTGCAAACGAATCGAGCGGCTCGAATCGAGTTCGAGCCGGTTCGAGTCGAACTCGAGCTCAGAATATTAAGCTCGTTAGCTCGCGAGTCGGCTCGAGAACTTGAGTATATATATATTTTTTTTATTTTTATTTAATAATAAATTATGTATATTATATTTATTTTTTTATTTTTTATTTTCATAGGAAAATTACGTATATTCTTAATTATTTATTATTTATTTAAAAAATATTATTTTATTTATTTATTTAAAATAAAATACTTATTTTTTTTTTTTTCGAGCTCAATGTCGAAAATTTGCTGGCTCGTTGATCTCGAGTTCGAGTTCAAGTTTGATAAATTTAGTCGAGACTCGGCTCGATTAACTCAAAACTCGACTCGACTCGCTCGTTTGCAGTCCTACCACTAATACTACTGCTGGTAGTGTAATTAGGTAGATACCATCGCTAATCCTACTATAAAACAAACGAAACCCTTTGTTTGGATAGTGTATTATTTGGAATAATTACTATAGTACTTTTTGTGATGTGATGTATGTGAGATAAAAAGGTGGTTGGAAATATAAAAAGGTGTGTTGGAAAATGTACCTATGATGCAAGCGAAATATTATTTGGGATAATTGGATATCCAAACATACTCGCAGCCTATTATTATACTAAAGTCGTGCTTAATTTTAGTTGTACGTGTTGAGATGTTAGTTCCCCACCTTTTTTTTGTGTTCCGAGTGGCTTGATTGTGAGAGATATAAAAGAGATGATGACGACGATGATGACGTTAGGAGGTGTAAACTGCATTAAAATTGCACCAAATGGATTCAAGAAGTGAAAGCTTCCAGCAGTTTCTTTCCTTTCGCCGCGGAAAATACTAGTACTGGCGTGAAGTATTAGTGGTGGGTGTCGTGTGGTTTCTGACTCAAAAAATTATGCGACTCGACACGTTGCAGTGCGGGCTCCACACACAAACCCATTATTATTGTAATTTCGAACCCGAAAAAAATAAAAAGTATGAAAGGTCGGTAGAAAAAAGTCATCGACACGGCATGAGTTGAGTCTATCTAACATGATGTATTTTAGGTGTTAGACCTTTAGAAAAATAATAATATATTAATTATGAATAATATATATAAATGTATAGAATAATAGTAGTAATTGTTAGCATGTATAAATAAATAATAAATTGAGTGACATTTCAGGTGTATCGATAAATGCTTATTTAGAGTACCGTTAAAAAAAAAATTCTTTATATTTATGGACACAAGCCATCATGATAATAAATTTTGCTGTTTTATAATTGAAACGAGGGGTTAAGTTTTTGTAAATTCAATATTCTTATTGAGAAAATCAACATAAATACATTCTTCTATCTTAGCCCATTGCTTTGCTCGTCTAAGCCTTTCCTTCGTGAATCCTGCACTACATTCTACTCCGACCATCACGTGTCCTTGCTCGTATTACAATTTACAAACACACAATTTTCTCAATCTTTGGCCAGCATACATCAATTTGAGCATTAAACTCCTACAATTAGTTAATGGAATTTGCTGCATATGGATTAGGATGACCAGTCTTTCTTCACCTTTTCGTTTCTTAACAATTATTGGCCTTTCGCCGCAGCCATCAATGCATCCTCTTTTTTTTTTTGAAATAAATTTTATATACACTGACAGTGTATACATTATTATCACCGTTTGATTCATGATATGCGTGTAAATAATAAATTTTAAATTCAAATTTTACACAGTTATCATTCATCCAACGCTGACAGTGTACATGCTGAGAAAAGATTAACTCTTTTATTTTTTTCACCACGAACGTGAAAAAGTGTTAATAAAAAAAAAGGAAAAAAAAAATCGAAGATGGTAGCGGAAGCAGCAGCAGCAGATATATTGTTTCATCAAAGCGGTTCGGTTCAATATCATCTTTGCGTTTCTTCCAAGAAGATGCCGCCGTCTCCCATCGAAATCGATGCCCTGCCTACTCCGCCGACGACTCCCACCACCGTCTTTCAAGCCGCTTCTGGCGTCCAAATCTCTCGCTCTGAATCCGTACGTCTCTCTGTCTACTACGATTTTACTTCTCTTTCTATTCATATGCACTTCCAGTTTTGTTTGTTAGTTTAGAATTGCTTGATTTTTTTTTTTTCGTTTGCTGTTCAAATTAGGGTTTCTGGTCCACCCCCACCCACCCCCCGGTTTATTGACCTGATTATTGGGTTTTTTTTTTGGGTTTGTTGGATTTAGTTACTATTCCTCCGCTAGATTTCTGTCAAAATTGTCTCTTGTCTGGAGTGGGTTTAGGTTTTTACCTTCTGATTGTCAAGTTGTGTTCTTTGCTTGCTTATTAGAAGTTTTTTTCCTTAAAAAAAAAAAGATTCTTGGACGCTGTTTTTTCCCATTTTCTTCAATTATAAAAAGAGAGAGGAAAGTAAAAACTGTAAGGTTTCTGGAATGGCCAGGGAATGAGGTTTATGATGCTCTACAATTACCATCAGGAATCTGAACTGTAACACCTCAGAAATTGTTACACAACTTAATGTTGATCGTGTATAGATATATTGGACTTCTCTTGGATAAGATGTAGTAAATAGCTGGGTATGGTGAAGTATGCGGCTACGTCATACATTGTGATTCTTTCTAGCAAAGGTCGCTCGCTCCTGCTAAACACCCAAGCACCGCATACCACTTTCGCTTTTGATACGCATTACAGTTCAGTAGATTTTATTTGATGCTCTTGGGTGTTTAGCTAAACATATACTTGCTGATTTTTGGTGGTTCCCTCCTCCTCCCCCCCCCCCCCCCAAGAAACAAAAAAAAAATCCTTTTGTATAGCAATTTTTTTCAAATAATATTTCGCTTGCATGATAAACACATTTTTTAATCCACCTTTTTATCTCACATACATCATATTACAAAAAGTACTACATTGATTATTCCAAATAATATTTCAAACAATACTCTATCCAAACTTGCATCGACATGTATATTGTGCATTATATCTGACTTTCTATTTTATTAGTATCAGGCCCTGGGTTGCTCAACCAGTATCCAAACTACAACTTATGTAGACTCTCCAAGGAACATTAAGTTTCTTCCGACTATCCGTTCAGGAAGCCATACGGATGTTGGTCGCCGCAGATCCAATGAAGACGAACACATTTGCATAGACGATCTCTCTACCTGTTTGGGTCCTCTCTGCACATGGCTTCTGCCTAGTTCATTTTATGCTATTTTTGATGGTCATGGGGGTTGTGATGCCGCATCGTATGTTAAAAAGAATGCCATGAGATTCTTCTTTGAAGATGCTGAGCTGCCAAAAAATTCTGACATCAACAAATCATTTTTGGAGGAGTTGGAAAATTCCCATCGCAGAGCATTTTTGGTTGCTGATCAAGCCTTGGCTGATGAACGTAGTATTGATGCATCCTGCGGAACGACAGCAATTACTGCTCTTGTACTTGGAAAGCATCTTTTGATTGCAAATGCTGGCGACTCTCGTGCTGTTCTGAGCAGGAAAGGAGATGCTGTTCAGTTGTCTCAAGATCATAGACCCTCCTCTGTTGTTGAAAGGAAGAGGGTTGAGGATTTAGGTGGCGTAATAGAATATGGATATCTAAATGGTGAACTTGCTGTTACTCGGGCTCTTGGAGACTGGTGCATGAAACTTCCTTTTGGCGCCGCATCGCCTCTGACTGCTGAACCAGAGGTACAACACATTTTGCTATCCGAGGATGATGAATTCTTGATCATTGGGTGTGATGGGATATGGGATGTTATGTCAAACCAGGACGCTGTCAGCCTGGTTCGTCGCAAGCTTAGGCTGCACGGTGACCCACAGCAGTGTGCCAGAGAACTCGTGGATCAAGCTCTGTGCAGGGCGTCAGGTGACAACCTCACAGTAATTGTTGTCTGCTTTAGTCCTGTAGATCGTCAAGATCCGGTTGCCTCTCAAAGACCGAGGCTCAGGTGGTGCAAGCTGCGCAGTTTACTGGAAGGCAACTGAGTGTATGCTTCATATTGTTTTGTGGAACGAGACAAAAAAAAAAGAAAAAAAAAAAGAAAGAGACTAGTGTGTAAATAGACACAATTGTTCTGAAGAAATTATTTTTATCTGTTTTGTGGTTGCTTCAGATTTACCGAGAAAAAGCAGCCAGCAGTTTTGTGCGGGTAGAGGGATAGAAATGGTGGTGTTTGTAGCTGCATTTAAAAAATAAAAAATAAAAAATTGTCTGTGTTTAAATGCAAGGAGTTCACTTGTACTAGTGGTGAACTGGAGCATCCTGTTTTAGGGGATGTCTTCCCTACACGTAAAAAATCAATTCTATTTATTCAAATTAGTTTCCAGTGTATCTTTGGTTTGGTGTCTAGCTTTTCTCCGGGGAAGCATGTTGCTTTCTTGTGGAATATGTGGCAAAAAGAGATTTATTTTTATTTCTGAAAGACCCTGGACGGTGTGGTGTGTGTCTGGGGTCTTGAGCAAGCTGCTTAGGGGTATAGGTTGTAATTGCATTTGGGACGCTGCTGTACTGTACGGTGAATAATAATAAGCAGATGATGGCTGATAATTTTTGTGAGGACCCAAATTCCTGGCCACGAGGACGGAGGATATAATAGATATGGATGGTGCGTAACAGTAGCAAACAGCCACGAGCAGCCTATCAGAAAAGGAATGAGAGTACGCGTTGGGCGGCAGCCGAAGCAAGCAAAAGAATAAAGAGGAGAAGAAAAGGAACATATTTAAAAAAAAAAAAAAATTGTTTGTTGGCCTTTTTACCGCCAGTGCATGCACGCACTTTAATTTGTTGTCCTCACACTTTTTCAATTTAACTGACAAAAAATTGACACAGAGAGCTCCTCTTAGCTAGAAGCCGAAGAGGAAAAAAAAAAACAAAAGAAAATAGATTAAAGATCCTCTGTTAACTTAGTGCCGCTTTTTTTTTTTTTTTTTAGCAACGATATATTTTGTATAATCTACTCTATCATGATCTAGAGGAAGGGGGAGCGTAAGAAGATTGTGATAGAGGTTAGTAAATATACAGATTCAACTAAATCAAGTGAGTGCTATCCTTAGATTGCTATAACATAATTTTTAGATTTTTTTCGCCGCTGCTGATGAGATTTGAACCCACGACGACATCAGCCCGAATTGATTCTTTTCCTGTGTTCAATTGACTGCGCATTAGGCATTAGACAAATTGGATACAATACCAACCAACAAAAGTCAAAGAGGACGACGAATTGAATGGGCATGTAAACTCGCACAGCTCACCTCATTGGGGAAAATGCTCCTACTACTAGCCTTCTATTGAGGAGAGAGGGGAAAAAAAAAAGGAGAGAAGAGAATACAAAATGGTCAAAAAAGAGGGAGCAGGCAGCGCGCCCTACTGAGTCCTACAGTGACCCGATCCGCCCTTCAATCCTCCTCTCCTCGTCCTTGGCTGTTTGTTAGTTAATTGGTTAAAAGAGTATTTTTTTTGCCTTTTCCTCCGGTCCAGATTGGATCCAGCCTATCCTCCTCCTTTTCTCCTCCTCTCAGCCCTCAAATTATTCGTCGTTCAAGAAATGGCAATGGCCAGCAGCATCGCCAGACGAAAGGCCGCCTCGCCTTTTCTGTCCCCCGAAAATATCAAGTCCTGCTATTCTTTTTTTCTCACCACCAGAGGCTTCGCTTCCGCCTCTGATGACAACGACGTCGTCGTCATCGGTGGTGGACCCGGCGGATATGTCGCCGCCATCAAAGCTGCCCAGCTCGGTCTCAAAACCACCTGCATCGAGAAACGTGGCTCTCTCGGCGGCACCTGTCTCAACGTCGGTTGTATCCCTTCCAAGGTACCTCCTCCTCCTCCTCCTCCTATGTTTTCCCCTTTTTTGGGTTTCTTCTCTCTCCCTCTTTCTTTACATGGCTTCTGCTTCTTCTTCTTTTTTCCATTTGTTTTTTTTTTCTCTCAAAGACTTTTATAGGATTCCACCAAATCTATTTATTTTTGTTATTTATTTGTCTCTTCAACCGTTCAATTGTTTTTTCGTTTTTCCTTTTTTTGTGGGTGGGGGGGGGGGAATTTTGATTAGCTGAGCTTATGATAGATTGATGAGGCTGTGAATTCTGATTTATTTCTGTTGTTATAATATCTTTTCTTTTTCTAATTTAATGAATGCAATTTCGAATTGAGCTGCTCTTTCTTTCTCTTTTCTTTTCTTTTCTTTTAAGTTCTTCCTAAGTGAGGTTGAAGTTGGTGGTGAACTGCTGAAATTTTTATGGAGCTTTGAATACTTTGAATTTGATTTCGATGAACCTGTGCATTTCAGAGAACAATTCACCTTGGGTGTACCTCAAGTATTACTATCTATGTCACTATGTGACTTGACTGCTGATTCTGATTTTTTTTCAAACTAAGCAATAACTGATATTAAATTGCTGAAATGTCCGAAAAGGGAAAAGGGAAAGGTCGAACTTATATTGCAGATACACTTGACGATTTATATCAGTGATTAGTGTGCAATTATAGAGTGTAAAGGGTTTCTTTTGTGCTTTCTCAGTGCCACTAGGGCGAAGTATGCTCTTCATATTCACAACTTCATTTGCAACGTACAAGTTACTGTATCTTAGAGGGGTGTTGTATGTTGTTGCAATGATTTTTTATTGTACGTGCTGTTAAACTAATTAGCTTGTGCAATGTGGTGGAAATTAGGCATTCTCCTATTAAGGCTCATCTATGAGAAACATGGCAATCTAGATGTTCTTGATTGGTTTGAGGTAGTTCTTCCTCCAGTAATAATCACCTTGTGATTCGGTAGGATATCTGAGCTGCATCTATATTCTTACTGATTTGGCTCTTTCTTAGCATTCCACTTAAAAAAAAAAAAACTCATCGTCTTAATATTCTTATAAGTCTCTGCCTGTGAAATCTCTGCCTGTGAAATACGTGGGAAATTTCCAAAGGTTGTCGCTGAGTGTTTTAGGTTTTCACATTATCTCGTTTGCTATTCATGTCTTTGAATTCAAATTTGTTTTTCTCGAAATGATTGCAGGGCCATCCTTTACAATAATTGAATAATCATCAAGCGGACTCTCGCTCATGGCTATTTTTGACAGCATAAATGTTGCTTTACTTTCCGCCCTTGCCCATCTGGTTGATAATTTTGCTAAATTTTGAGATAGCTGACCAGTTTTGCACTTTACCTACCATAACTGGTACCTTATTCTGGATTTGCTGCTGAACTTTAGCAAATTTATCCTTGTTGTACAGGCACTTCTTCATTCGTCACACATGTTCCATGAAGCCAAGCATTCTTTTGCCAGTCATGGAGTGAAACTCTCTTCTGTTGAAGTTGATCTACCAGCTATGTTGGCCCAGAAAGATAAAGCTGTGTCTAACTTGACCCGAGGTATTGAAGGTCTGTTCAAGAAGAACAAAGTCAACTATGTTAAGGGTTATGGCAAATTTCTCTCCCCTTCAGAGGTTTCTGTTGACACCATTGAAGGTGGTAATACTGTTGTGAAAGGGAAGAATATAATAATCGCCACTGGTTCTGATGTCAAGAGTCTACCCGGGGTAGCCATTGATGAGCAGAGAATTGTGTCATCAACTGGTGCTTTGTCCTTGTCAGAAGTCCCCAAGAAACTGGTTGTTATTGGAGCTGGGTATATTGGCCTTGAAATGGGCTCTGTTTGGGGGCGTCTTGGCTCTGAGGTAACTGTTGTTGAATTTGCACCTGATATTGTTCCAACCATGGACGGCGAAATCCGCAAACAATTCCAGCGTGCCCTTGAGAAACAGAAGATGAAATTTATGCTCAAAACCAAGGTTGTATCAGTTGACACTGCTGGGGAGACAGTGAAGTTGACGCTTGAGTCAGCTGATGGTGGTAAACAGAGCACTCTTGAAGCTGATGTTGTCCTTGTATCCGCAGGAAGAATTCCGTTTACTGCTGGACTTGGATTGGACAAGATAGGTGTTGAAACTGACAAGGCTGGTCGGGTCCTAGTCAACGAAAAATTTGCCACAAATATCCCTGGGGTATACGCTATTGGTGATGTTATTCCAGGACCAATGTTGGCGCACAAGGCAGAAGAGGATGGTGTTGCATGTGTGGAATTCATTGCTGGGAAGGAAGGTCACGTGGATTATGATATGGTTCCTGGAGTTGTTTATACACACCCTGAGGTGGCATCTGTTGGAAAAACTGAGGAGCAGGTGAAGGCCCTCGGGGTCCAATATCGTGTTGGAAAGTTCCCTTTCATGGCAAACAGCAGGGCCAAGGCAATTGATGATGCCGAGGGAATTGTCAAGATACTTGCAGAGAAGGAGACTGACAAGATATTGGGTGTCCATATAATGTCACCGAATGCTGGGGAGCTTATTCACGAGGCTGTGCTAGCTTTGCAGTATGGGGCAGCAAGTGAGGATATTGCTCGTACTTGCCATGCACATCCCACAATGAGTGAGGCTCTTAAAGAAGCTGCCATGGCAACATATGACAAGCCCATTCACATATAGATGCCTTATATCTTGTTATTATTGCTTTATTTTCCCTCTGAGAATTATGATGACTTGGAAAGGCTTTCTGATTCCTTCGTGTTACTTTAGTACATCACTTGAGTGAAAAATATCTACTTTTCTTGTTGCTGTTCCCTCATCTGGGATCAAAGTACCGAGTGGGAATATTTCCTCTTCGCATGTTGATATGCAAAATAACTAAGAGGTGGACATGGATTTAAACATTTCTGAGTTACTCTGCACTAATTTCACGGCTGCCTGGAGTAGATGTTTTGTTACTGTTCATTGTGTTATGTACAGAAGGTAGAAGCCTTTGCTTAATGTTGGTTGTGTCATATAAAGGAGGAACAATCTGCAGCGACATTTTGATAGTCTTAATTTGCAAGATCCGCCAAGACTCGAGATTGAAACCTCCACCTTGTCACACACCTTAAGACATAATACAGCTGATGATGAGAGCCTTACAGGAGTCTTTTGAATCTTGCTTATTGCACTCTACATATGTATACGCAAGGAAGGATTACAAGGATCAAGGAGGGATCCGTAGCTTCTGTTCAAGCAGTTTATGTACAGCCGTGTGTATGACCCCTACTATTGCAGGAGGCATGATTATGAAAACCTAAAGAGCCGAGCAGCTGCTGCCTTTGATGGTCCTAAAACTTTGTGACGAGAATTTCAAGAATAATCAACTTAAGAGAAACACAACAACCTCTAGATTATAGTCAGACGGTCCAAAATTTTTGTGATGTTATTTTGATGACTATATTGTTTGATCAAAGGAGGTCAAGTGTGAGACAAGTGATTTCATGCTATTTTCCTACGATACATTGTAGCAAGTTCTAGCATGCGATCCCAATAGTGTCAGATAAGTTTATGTTACTGGTAGAGCAACAAAAAACAGTAGGCGGTATGCGTCCTCAGGATCCTACTCAATCTGCACAGTGGCCACCACGAATACACAGAATCAGTATCCATCGAAGGACCCAAGAACAGGCCTCAAATATGGGGAATTCATACATCTCTTAGGATCCGATTAAAAACATACACATTAGTTCGCAAGTCCAGCCAAAAGAAGTGTAATTCAAATGTTTATCCTTTCTTTTTTTACTTTTTTTGGGTCAAGGAAACTGTATACCAAAGCAGAAGCAGGTGCTTATCTTAAAGAGCACGAAAAAAAGGTGAGCTGCTTGAGCATCATTCAACAGCAAGTAGCTTCTGATACAAGTGAATGCATAGTAAAGTTTGTAGGGCGTTGAATGAAGAAGATTTCTGCCCAAACATTTAAAGATGGACCACTGTGGGTTTGTAATCAATGACAAGGACTTTGTCTAGTTGAGGGAGCAACAGATTAGCATATTCAGCATGAGCTGGATGACCAATATACTCAGCAATCCCTTCGGTACTCTCAAAGATGGACTCAAAGATGTGAGTAAAGCCTTGGTGCAAATTCTCAATGCTCACATCCTTACCCCTGCAACAAAGGGAGCCATAGCAAGATATCTTAGATTCTGTACAACAGTGCATGAGATGAAACTCACTCGTCATACCTTTCTGACATTCAAATTGAAATATACTAAAATGGCAGCCACTCCTAGAAACAGAAATGGCATTAAGAACAAATGAAATGAAATGTCATACCTTTCCCCCTCCTCCCCCCCCCCCCCCCGCCCCAAGCCACCACAAAAAATAAAAAAGAATAATGACCAATAGCAGAAGCAGAAGCAATCCCCATAGCCAGAACCCTGAAGCTTAAAAATAAGTCAAGATCGTAACTTTAAGACAACAGATGTAACAACACAAGCTGGAAAGGGTCTAAATAAGCATTCCAAGATTCGAGCAAATTCACATAAACTTACGATCCACCACAAAACGAAGATTTGACTTTATATATATACATGTAACAAAACACCATGATGATTGAAAGATGGAAAACTTGAAACAAAGAAAAACCGAGTGAAATCTGAAAACAAGAAAAGATTGAGGGCCTATGGATTAATTGGGAGAAAGTAGTCAGTCAGTACCATACCATGAAAAAGACTTCATAGGTGGGATGAGATTGACGAGATTGGCGTAGCCCTTGATGAGTTGGTCAATCTCATCTTCTGAGAGCCCACCTTTGAACTTGGCTAGGAGTACGTGCCTCACTTCACCTTTGGCCTCCTCCATCTCCGCTGCTCAAGTCTGTCTGCGTCTACAGCTGCTCTGTAATTGTTATTGTAAGGAAGGATGGAAGTCTTTTAATGAGCTGAACTTCTAAAACACTCCAGACTCCAGAGGTGGGCTTCGGGGCTTGGGTGGAAGCCCTCTCAAGTTTGGTGACCAACCAATATGTCACTCCCTTTCTACTCACTTTGATCGTTCCTTTTTTTTTTTTTTTTTCGTCTGTCCCAAATTATAGTTCACTTTTTAATTAAAAAATATAGTTATATTTTAATTTTTTTAAATTATTTTTATTTAATATAAGTTATTGTTACTATAAATCTATCCCATTTAATGAGAATTAATTCTTTTTTTATCATCAATTTAAGTTCCCATAAAGTTATACTCTAATTAATATGAGGGTATTTTAGAAAAATAGCTACCTTAATTGATTGATCCAACAAAGTTAATTACTTTTTTTTAAACTGTGTGAAAAATAAATTAAAATTATCAAAATGAGACGGAGGGAGTATATACGAGTTCACAAGTGTGGGCTGCCTCAACTCCAACCGGCAGTTGGGGTTTGCTTTTCCGTTAAATCGTTCTAGAAAAACATCGTACTTAGAGTGGCAATTAACAAGAAAAACATCTGGGGCATACTCCACTCTGAGTAAAGGAAAGTCGACTGTTTTGATTGAGCCATAAGTTGATATGTACTACTCCTCCATTAATTAATATGCACTCAAGGTCAAGGGCAGGGTTGAAAATTGGAATGGGCGTTTATTTCTTTTAGATTTTTTGCCTTCCTTTTTTGCCCTTTTGTTGAGAAAAAAGAAGAGGACTTCGGCCTCTTGACTAGAGTAGAGTGATTAAAAACTACTCCTACATGAGTAGTACAGTAGCAGAAGTTCAGCTGGAATACCATACAAAGTAATACAGTACATTGGTTGAAATTATTTCAGATTCTGTCCCTACCTATTGGGCTATTACAGTACATATATTGTATAGTTCACCTGCAATTGTACAATCATACCGCGGGCAGACTAATTATTACAATCTAAGATTTATTTATTGTATATACTTCAGAGGATTACTGTTGCTGCTTCTTGGTGGTAATCATAGCTAAGGCCACATTATTGGATGGATGGGCGTGGGAGTGGGAGTGTGGGACTGGATCAAATCTGGAAGGAAGACTTGTGCCCTAATAATAAATAAGTTGATTTTTAAGGCAGACAAAATTCATTAGGCAGCCGAGGGAGCAGTAGCATAGTGAACGAGGCCAGCAGCATCGGAAAGCGCTGCAACTGTTTTTTCTTTCTGATCATCATTTCCACCACCTTCCTTGTTAATCTTGGAGGGTGCATCAGCAATATTGACATAGTCCAGGGACTCATCTTCGTATATATCCCACCATTTCTCCACTAGCATCTTTATGTCTTCTCTCTGCATGTTTTCCTCTTTCCCTGTGTACCTCCAGGGCTTTGATCCCTGCGCGTACCCAAAATTCATCATTTCAATAATATTAACCCAGGCTAAGTATTGATACTACATCATTTCAAGTTTCTTTTTTAAACACCTTTTCTCAAAACTGATCACTTTTTCATACCATGCAGTTCAGGTTAGCAAAACAGAAAGATAGTAGTAGTTTACTACTGGACTACTGGTAATCAAGTTGTTGTCTCCACTTACCGCAGCACAGTAGTGAACAACCTTGACGCTGTCAAGGTCAATGTTCTCGGGATGTCGCCACAGCATTGCCAAAACCAGGTTGTAGACCGGAGGAATCGGGCGATAAATGTCCCTGAAGAACATGTTCAGAAAGTCCTGCATGTGTACATGAAAATATGGATGGCATCAGCAAACCAACAATGAATCGATTTGCTTCTTTGTATAACGACATGTGGTGTGGGACGCCAATTGCATTACTAGTTATAAGGCTATAGCTCATTTGGACATCATTCACTTTGAGAGCCAGCTAGCCTCTACATTCCATTATTCATTCATCTCATGTTGGACTGGTACTCGATCGCATCTATCTAATTTGGTAATCTAAGCTAAATCTTGAGAATCAGTGCCCGCACAGTACTAGCACACATACCTGTTCTGCGAATGTAGTTGGAGAAGTGATCTTGACGGTTTCCAAAAGACGGTGATAAGTGGACAAATTTGGTTCATAAACGAACATGCCGGCATTGAAATACAAGGGTGGTGGTGCTCCCAACTCTTCTGGCCACTGCACCCTCTGTGGGGATTGTTGGCAATAACCGATCTGGTACTGAATTGTATTGCTCCAAGTTTTTTCGCAAAAGCAGTCCATAACAGCATAAAACTGCCCGTCCGGATACTCAAACAAGTGATCAATGTTGTCAAAAACTTGAATGTCCCCATCCAAGTATATCATCTTGCTATACTCTACAAACTGCAACATCGTTAATCATGAATTAGTGTGTAAGATTTACTTGCTTGCTCATTATAATTAGGACTACCAGCTATTTTTATTAGGCCGATTTTATTTAAAGACAGTACTTCAGCAGTTGTTGGCTAGAATCAGCATTGATCAAGTTAAAGTGCAGTGCTCTCGAAGCCTTGTGCATGGCAAGACTTGATAATCAATTAACGTGCACGACAATTGAAGGCTGAAACACACGAATTTTGGCCCAAGGAGACTCGTCCACTAGTGCCTATAAGAATGAAGTACTTCTGGAGTAGGACCCTTTTTTTTTTCCCTTTTTGGAAAGAAGGTGGGGAAAATGAGCAAGGACAAAGGTAAAGTGAGGGAATTATCAAGCAGTGAGTGAAAATAAAACAACAATGATGAAAGAGCTTAAATAGGAGCCTTTTCGACTCGTCAATTCATGGTTGGAACTGTAGGTAGCTGAATAAACCTAATTACGAAAAAAATGAAACTAATTATGCTACTAAAAATCTAATGAGATGTTGATTTACCAAACTAAGACTCTTTTGGTTTGACAATTTGGCTAGTCAAACGACAAAGGAAAACCATCGCCACCTCGAAAACAAAGGCAAGGCAACTACATCGATCCATTGTATATACAAACACACTAAACTTGGACCAGAATAGACAAGTAGTGTATGTCTTCCTGTACATTTGTTTATGTGGCAAGACTCAGCAGTCGTTTCATAGATGCTGCTCAGAATCAGAATTGGATGATCAGAAATAACACTTCTTTGTGCCAATTAACTAAAAGGAGCAACAAAACAGTGTACAAACAAGATCGAAGTACTACATGCAAGTGAGAAGAGATGCATGCTTCACAGAATTAATTGAAGAGCAGGCACTAACCTCCCAAATCCGAAGTTTCGAGTAGTTGATGACATAATATGCCATGGCAAATTGAGTTTGATTTTCAGGGGGATATACTGGCTCAATCTCCCGAACTACACAGCCTTGAGACTCTAGAATTTGGCGATGTTCCTCTGGGACATCTGGCAACGCAGCTACCACCAGAGGGTAAGCGGTGTTGCTCTTTCTTAAACCCTTGGCTAATCCCACAACTCCTTTCCAATAATCTCCACTTCCTGCCAAGAATGTCACAAACGCCCTCTTAGTTGGCTGCACTTCCTTTTCCATCAATACTGATGAAACCTTTTCAAAGTTCATTTCCATCGATCCCTGCAATAATATACAGCAAACTGGACTAAATTAAACGGCTAATGAGAAGGAGAAACAAATTTTATTTTCTCTGTTTTTTTTTAGAAAAGAAAATTGAGCTTTGTAGAAGGTAAAAGGAAAATTTTGGAAATCGCAAAAGAAGAGAAGATGGATGGAATTAATTTGTTATGCACAGAAGTTGGTGGAGGGCTTCTGTATTTATAATGAAACATGCGTGCTCCGTGCGGGCAATTTATTCCAGGGATTGCATTTTCATGCAAAAAAGTAAAGAATCTGGGCACTGGGACTGGAAGTATGATTGAAAAACCTTTTTCCGAAAAGATTTTGATCATGTTTAACACGTGTTCTACTGAAAGATGATGATTCTGTTGTTGTTGTCGGTTAATTCATCTCAGAGTGCTGTTACATTTGGCTATAGACGAGGAAGCTAGCAATTACATAAACTATCATTTCCTATCTTTCTCTCCTCCTTTAGTTAACTAAACTAAATTAACTAAAGCTACCGAATAGAATACTGCTACTTCCCCTTTTTGGATTCCAGTTTTTGCTGATACGGGCTGTTCTTGGATTCCAGTTTTTGCATGATAAGCAAGCAAACTAAGTCATAACCCTTCATGTTTTATATCTCGTACGTGTACGCATCATATATTCCACCTAATCTAGTTCCTTCCAAACTGCTTAATCAATAGTTTGATTGGTGTCTGATTTCGTTGCTAGATTCTCACTTTTCTTTTGGAACGACATTACCTTTTCCAAACACATGGCATGGCATGGTTGTAGGAGAAATACCGGATTGATAGATTCTCAATCTACCTTTTTGTCAAGGCTTGGGATATTCTTCTTGCTTTTGCCTTTTGGATCCAAACCCTTTTTTTCTTTTTGGGGTTGTTGTAGTCAGTAGATTAATTAGGTGCAAGGCGTCCTCTAATTGCTGCACGTTACCAAACTTGTCACAGAGTGTATTATTGAATTTATATGTTACCATTGACACCACTCAATTTCTCATTGTTGCATGCATAACTTATAATCTATAGGGATATTTTCAGAAACTTCCCTCGAGATTTCTGACAATTGCACCTAGTACCTTTAAGATTTTCAACACGCTCCTAATCTTGTGTATAGGAATACATCACACAATTAAACATTTAATGGAAACAAAAACAAGATTCACTCGTGAAATAACTAATTATGTCCTAAATACAAATTTAACATATTACAAATGAATTTTAACTTTGTTTCGAGGACCTAGAGATGAATAGAATAAGATGTAAGTTGAAGGCTTAAAAAAGGATGGGGCATGTGTTGGTACTTGATCAATATTTTGAGAGATAGGATGCTATATTAATGTCGTTAGTGAAATTTTTTGAGTTTAATAGTGCTGATTTTTTTTTCTTTTGTAACTTAGATTGAAGTTTTAGAATTTAGGAGGTGATGATGGTGGTGGTCATGGTGATATGTGGGAATATGAAAAGTTTAAAATAATAGAGATGAGGATTGAGAGAGTGGGCTTGAGATTTTGTGTATTGTTCCATATTTCCTTTAAAGAATTTTATAAGAAGGTTTTTTTAGGAGGGTCCTGTTGGGTTATTCTTTCAAAATTTTGATCATTGATATTTTTGAAATATCAAAGGAATAATTAAGATGAAGTTATATATTGAAAACCTCAAGGAGGTTTATGAAATTATCACTAATCTATACGACTGTATACATGCAGGCATGCCACCAAAGTTCTCCTACCCATGCAAATGAGTTTGGTCGTCCTAATCATAAAGGTTCTTCCTTGTCAAATTTAGTGCAGCACTTTTTAACTCTCCAGTGCTGCCGTTTATGCATGTCTGGCTTTTTTTAAGTTCATGATCATTGCTTCACTCTTGACTAAGTCTGGATATTAAAAATGCGAATTCATAGCTCGCGGAATATCAAAAAGTAATTGGGAACGCAAAACTGATTAAAAAAAAAAAAAAACCCAGTTTGTGAAATTCTGGAGCAAATTTGAGTTTGCAAATTTGGAGATCAGAAAGAAAAGAAAAGACGCCCTTTAATCAGAACAGAATATCATGTTCCACTTCCACACGGGTATGATTTGTCAAGAGAGGGTGAGGGTGGTGATGAATTTGGCTTGAGATGGATGGATGGATGGATGGTTGGTTGTGGTGGTGAGCATGATGATGAACATGAAAAAGGGGCGTGCCACGCGAACGCTGGCGAATCAAAATGCATTTCTTTTAATCATCAAAGAAAGTCAGTCAGATTCCACTTTCATTTTCTCCAGAATTAACAAACGTGTACCAAATTTCCAAAGGCAAATTTGAGCTGGGTGACCAAAGGCAAAGCAAAGCATTCCAAATTTCCAGAAACTGCAGGCAAACGAAAACTTCACAATACAAAGATTGTGTGCTGTGCTGTGTAAAAAAAAAAATAATTCACAAGAAAAATTCATGATGATGATATACGGAAAGAGAGTTGAAAGCTATTACCATCTCAGTGTATTAACCAACCCTCAGTATGCCCTCCTCATTCAAGATTTATGGGCGGCCCCTGATATATATGGAAGGAAGAAATCTCCATTTCGAGCGAGCTCAATTTACTCTCTCACTCTTAAATTAGCTTAGGTTTCTTGTCTCAGCTCAGTCGGCTTAAACGCAAATTTGCCCCGACAACAACCCCCTTTCTTCACAGAAACACACAGCGCCGAAAGTCACTGAACCTGAACGCCCCCAGGCCCCAGTTTCCTTCCCTTCCTTCCTATTGAATATTGATCTCCCTCAGTTTCTTTCTGCAAATTACTACAGCATTAAAAGAATTTCCGGGCCTCCATTGGAAAGTTCCAACATTTCTCTTCGCTAGGAATTGATCACGGCATGTGTGGTGGCCATTTCTTTCTTCAATGGCCCAATACCATTTCAGAACTAGATGGGCCTAATTCTTCTTTCTCTCGAGCCCACACTTCATACAAACAAACTAAAAAGATGAATGGTAGGACTTAGGAGTAAATAATTAATTATTATTTGACTTCCCCTATCCATATTTGACCTCCTCCTCCACCTCCAATCAAACTCCCTGTAGAAAAGCCGGTCTTGAACAACCAAAAACATACACACCACTCCGCTTGCGAGTGTGCGAGTGTGTGTATTTTGATTTTGTGCCTGTTAAACCCCCCAAAGAGAAAGGGAAAAAAAAAAAAGAGTCAGATGGCATCTTTGGCTCAACATTTTGGTGGGCTGAAACGCCCGCCGCTCTCCACGATCCTCAACACTAATTCGAACAACCGCTGCTCTACCCATTGTCTCAACTCACCCAAACAGAACCACCAGCAGCAGCAGCCCAGAAGAGGACTAGTACTAGTTGTGGCAGCAGCTGCCGGACCAGTGGCTGTCTCCAACGCACAGACCAGAGAGCGGATGAAGCTCAAAGAAATTTTTGAAGACGCCTACGACAGGTGCCGCACTGCCCCTATGGAAGGTGTCGCCTTTACGCTCGAAAACTTCCACGCTGCCCTTGATAAGTTCGACTTCGATTCTGAAATTGGTAGCAGGGTAAAGCCTCTTATCCATTTTTTTTCCCCTTTGTATATTCTCCTTGTTGTATTTTCTGTATGTTTAAGTTGAATGGGGTTGAGCTTGTGTAATTCTGATTCTTGTGTGATTTGACTCGTTAAAGATTGGATACTTGTGTTGTTGTTAATTTGGGAGTTTGCGCGGGGTCAGTTGCTCATCGACTCTGGGGAGAAGAGGTTTTTTTCCCTGCAGTTTGGTTTTGTAAAGTTGGCGTACAAATGCATTTATATCCTAGCTCGGCATGCGTAGTAAGAGTCTTGTTTCCGGGTTGTAGATGGAAAATGCTATGTTTGGTTTGGATTGATGAGGTCAGCTAGAGTAATCTTATTAGAAATAGCCTTTTTGGTTGTGTTTTCCTGTCGGTGAATGCAGAACGTGCGTTGATTTGTGGTATTAGAGACTGGATATCCATTGAACAATGGGAAGGAGGTAAACTTGACCGTGAGAAGTGGGGAAAAAATCATTATAAAATGGATATTGGTTGGTAACTGAGTCCAAAAGGGGTACTTATATTGTGGATCGATTTTTCAAAGTTGGAGATGTCTTTTTTTTTTTTTAGCTCAGGGTCTGGCTATCAGATACACTAATACGGTTATTAGAGATATCTAGAGTTGCGATCAGATGCATTCCCCTTTAATTTGTAAAATTACGGTTCTTGGATGATGGATGGGAGAGAGATAAAACTGTGTTTTTTTCTCGGCTGATGCTTTAGTCGTTGCAGTTGCTAATCTTCAACCAAATGCTTCTTTCCAGGTCAAAGGAACAGTTTTTGCTGTAGATGCAAATGGAGCCCTTGTTGACATTACTGCAAAATCATCAGCCTACTTGCCTGTGAGCCAGGCATCAATTTACAGGATAAAGAGTGTAGAAGAAGCTGGCATAGTGCCTGGTCTTTGTGAGGAATTTGAAGTCATTGGTGAGATTGAAGCTGATGACAGTTTGATACTGAGCCTGCGTGCTATCCAGTACGAGCTAGCATGGGAAAGATGTAGACAGCTTCAAGCTGAAGATGTTGTTGTCAAGGGTAAGGTAGGTTTTCTGCACCAAAAGCTGCTATACTTAGGTTTATCACTTGTGTGTTATTTGTTGGGATTCCTCTATCCTTTGCCGTTTTTCTGTTTCGAAACTGCATTTAGTATTCCCTATTGTGATAGCTCGTAGTCGTCAATAAAATCAGCTAATAGAAGCATTTGCTTTTCTCAGTAGTAATACAACTTGTAACTTTTGTTCTGTCGTATACATTGGCAGGTAACTGGTGCGAATAAAGGTGGAGTAGTGGCATTGGTTGAAGGCCTTGTTGGGTTTGTTCCCTTCTCGCAAATATCAACGGTTAGTTTCTCGCTTAGGCATGCCTTATTTTACTAACTTCATTTTGAAATGAAAGAAAAAGATCTAGGAGAATGCTATACAGAATATTGTATATGCATCTATTGCGAGTCAGGTGGCTCCTGAAGACTAGAGAATGTCCGCTTCCTCTTAGATTTCCAACCTTGCCACTAAAGTTGTCTTGTAACTATAAATTACTGGAGATATAATGCATTAGATAATATAAAACTGTTTTTAAGATTTTCCTCATCTGCTCACCATGTTTCCTCAACTTGGCGGTATAAAAAGATAAGATGAGAAAGAAATAGAGGTAGGATGTATCTGCTGAAACAATTTAAGCAGATATTGACATAAGATTTACGTGATTAATCTATCAGAAATCAACTGCAGAGGAGCTTCTTGAGAAGGAGCTTCCACTTAAGTTTGTAGAGGTTGATGAAGAACAGTCGAGGCTCATCCTCAGCAATCGTAAGGCCATGGCTGACAGTCAAGCGCAGCTTGGAATTGGCTCTGTGGTTCTTGGAACTGTTCAGAGCTTGAAACCTTATGGTGCTTTTATTGACATAGGCGGGATCAATGGCCTTCTACATGTCAGTCAGATAAGTCACGATCGAGTCTCGGACATTGCAACAGTCCTTCAGCCTGGTGACACTCTAAAGGTACATATAGATATTTTTTTTATCTGTTTGTGGTTTCTTTTTGTAAGCAATTTGCAGTAAGGTGTTGTGTTCTAGGTGATGATACTAAGCCATGATCGCGAGAGAGGCAGAGTGAGCCTGTCTACAAAGAAGCTGGAGCCTACTCCTGGTGACATGATTCGTAATCCTAAGCTTGTCTTTGAGAAGGTAATGCGTTATTTGTTATAGCTAGATGTTCTGAAATTTGGCATCGTATACTTCTCAAAATAAAGAAAGTAACACAAAAATACTAAGATCGAGTAAATTTGTATTTCTTCTTCTTTTTTTTTTTTAGTATATTCGTCCTGTAGATGAAAGGGTTATAAATTTATACTTCTCTAATGCGACTAAAGAGCTGGGTTGTACTGTACGTGTCATATATTAGCTAAAGTTAATGAAGCAATCATCACGGGGAGAGCTATGAAAAATAATAAAAGGCATCAACAAAGAAAAAACTGATGGTGATTACGTTTTCACAGGCTGAGGAAATGGCTCAAACATTCAGGCAGAGAATTGCACAAGCAGAAGCAATGGCTCGCGCTGATATGCTCAGATTCCAACCAGAGGTAATTTGTTTGGTAGCCAAATCCCCTTCCCCTGGAATTCTTTTTCGTCCGTTGTCAAGTAATAACAAATGCACAAAGCAAATAAATTGGTGCTGGCATAGAAAGTTTTACTAATGCACTCTGCATGTCTTTTTCTATGTTGCTGTTGTTCATCTGGCAGAGCGGACTGACTTTGAGCTCTGATGGGATCTTAGGACCGCTAACCTCCGACTTGCCTGCAGAGGGTCTGGACTTGAGTGATATCCCTCCCGCCGATGATTCATCATGATTTACACATCTCGTAGCTTTATTTATACAACATGCATACAAGTGTACCCACCCGCTCGACTTTGTGTTACCTCCTCGCGCGTAATTATTCTTGGATTTGGTGATATCATATGTCAAATGTTCATCACACAAGAAATAACAAAGAAGTTTTCGAGTCCCGTCATGAAATGTCAATTGCTTTTGCTTCCTCTTGCCGTTTCCACTTTAACAACATGCATGGAAGAGGGTACGGCAAGCAAGGATTTTTTACGAGGAAACAAAATTTAAAGAAAAAAAAAACGAAAGAAAATACAGATGTATAGGTTGATGGAAAAATAAAATTCTCCATCAGTTCAAATCATTTGGCAAGCTTCAGTTCCGAAATAATAAAATGTAGCAAGAGCATATTGAAGAGTTCACGGAGAGAAATAAACATTCGCCAAACGAATCTTTTGCGGATACTCATCAAGCTCAATTTATACCTCTTACATTGCCACGAGGAGCAGCCAAGGGTTGACAAAGCAAAGTGGTGTCCTACAATATTGACAGGAAGACTTGAGACTAATCAGGGCAAAATATCATACAAACCTAACTTTGTGCTTTGCTAGATTTCTTGCTTTTCTTTTGCTTCTGCTGCATTTGAGTTAGCCCTGCAGCTGTCACTTTTACGTTACCAATGATTGCAGCAACAAGCTCAGGTTCTGTGCATGCCTTCATCAATTCCTTCTCTCTGTTTATTGCCTCAGGCATGTGACTAAACAAATTCATGGCTGTTTTTGCAGCTGCAGAGAAACACAAGAAAATCAATTTTCCTCCAGAATATCTAACTCCTTTAACTTTAAGCAACTACCAAGATCAGTGTAGGTCAAAACTGATTCACTAGTACTTGCTGCATATAAGAATGAAAATAGTTGATATACGAGAAAAGACTCAACAAAAAATGTGTTCAGCCTGGGCAGGAAATACTTAATTAGCAAGTGCTAAGGCCTGATTCAAGGACAACAACACTTTTTAGTTAAAAAAGCAGCACCTTTTCCTTTCTTTACTGGTCCAGGAACCAACTTCACACGATATTTGTACGACTGCAGAGCACTATATGGACCACAGACGGGAACAGCATACAACAGAACATCATTTGGCATTGGATTTCCAGTCAAGTAGTCCACATCAATTAGTTTCCCTTTCTCTTCTTCCCCTATTTCATGAATATCATCTTCCTCCATCGTTATCCTGTCCACAGTGTTAGCAGCATAGCTCAAATTCGCACGAGACTTTTCCTCCAAACCATCTGGAGTACTCTGTACACCATCAGGGTATTCACGACAGTCCCGGGATAAATGACCTGGCTTTTTACATTTAAAACACACCCTTGGAGCATTTTCAAAACCTGCAAACAAGCCAATGCCGGAACCAAAGGATTA